TTAAGTATTGCCCAACTGGGAGATATCAGACCCATTAGTCTGTTGACGAGCTTATATAAAATAGTAAAGAAGGTTTTGGTTGAGCAATTGAATGTGGCTCTTTCTTTTATTATCTCTGGTCCACAGTCGGCTTTCATCAAGGATAGGCTGATTTCGGACAGTGCCTTCATTGCACAATAATATATCCACTCACATATAAATAGTGAGAATCCTGGAGTGGTGATCAAACTAGACATGGAAAAGGCATATGATAGATGGAGACAATGGATCTTTGGTTGCTTATCCTCAGCCCATTGCTCTATTTTGTATAAGAGAAGTCCGAATGGTTTTTTCAAGGCTACTCGGGGTCTTCGCTAATGTCACAATCTATCTCCTTTTATTTTCACTATGTATGCTGAATGTTCTAGTTGAATGTTGTCTAATGTCGCAAGGAGCGGTCATTTTTTGGGTTTTCAACTGCCTAATGGAGGACCTTGTATTTCCCACTTGCAATATGCTGATGACACATTGCTATTTTGTAAAGCTCAGATTGCACAGTTTAGCAATATTGCAACTTTCTTGAAATGCTGCGAAGTTGCTTTAGGTCTCAAGGTTAACTTTGGGAAAACAACAGTTGTTGGCTTGAATTGCAGTGATGAAGTGATGAATTCATGGGCACGGGTTTTATGCTATAAAGTAGAGAAGTTCCCAATCATGTATCTGGGTATGCTTATCTCGCATGGCCGCCTTTCAATTAATGCTTGGGAAAAAACTCTTCAACATGTTCAAGTAAAACTAGATTTATGGAAGTTTAAATATCTCTTATTTTGAGGTAGGATTACTCTAATTAAGGCATGTTTGTCCAATTTACCAGATGTCAATCCTACAAATCCCTTCTTCGGTACCAAATAATATCGAAATGATGATGACGAAGTTTATGTGGGGATCCCCTGCGGAGACGAGAAAATTCCATCTTCTTTGATGGGTTAGAGTTTGCACACTCAGAAGTGAGGGTGGTCTCGGGATTAGCAAAATCATTACAGTGAATCAATCATTGCTTTGTAAATGGTAGTGAAGAAGTTTAACTTGCAAATATCACCTTTAGTACCAGGTTATTGTGTCGAAGTATGGAGTAAATAAGTTTGGAATGTGGGTGGGTACCAGAAGGGGGGACATGGGTATGTCTCCAACTTGGAGGTCGATTCAGAATTGTAAAGCTTTGTCACACAGAGACATTTGGTGGTCTATTGGCAATGGTAATAATAGTTTCTTTTGGCATCATAAATGGGTTGGGGATGCTCCATTAAAATTGACTTTTTCTAATATTTTCCAAAGAGTGGCTAACCCCAACGCTATAGTTTCTGATTGTTATGAGCATTGGGGTTGCCAAGTTTTGTGGAATATTGAGCTCCCTTATAATAGGATCTCTAATGCACTCTTTTTTGAGCTTTCCGGTCTGCTAAGATTATTGGACGAGGTTTATATCTCTCTAAATGATATAGATGAGGTTGTGTGGGAGATTAATAAGGATGGAGAATTTTCGGTGAACTCAATGTGCCAGCTACTTTTCCATGATTGGTGGCGGTGGTCAAGACCTGAACTGGCCGTCATTTGGAGGTGGCCCTTACCTTTAAAGGTGCAAGGCTTTATATGGTTGGCTATTCAAAATAAGGTGATGACAATTGACAATCTTATCAAGAGGGGAAAAATATTGCTAAATATATGTCAATGTGTAAGGAGAATGGGGAATCTGGAGATCATATTTTTCTGCATTGTTCTTTAACCTTTCACATTTGGAGAAGGTTCTTTGCTTTGCTTGGGTTTGAGATGGTGATGCCGCCAAGTGTTGAAGGTATTTTGCATAATTTGCCTCAGAATGGTGCTATCATTTGGCAAATCACTAGAGGTATAATTTTATGGGAAATATGGAAAGAGAGAAATAAACGAGTGTTTGATGGGATAAGTTCGCCATTTGAGATCGTTTGGGATAAGATTCTATGTGCCATTTGGCTATATCTTTCAATTATTAAATTTGGTCAAGATATAGCGGAGGTGGATGTTAGGAGTAATTTAAAGTTGCTGCTCCAATTGGGCTTTCTAAAGTGCAAACTGAAAGGTAGGTGGGTGCCTCCAATTGTTGGGGTTTTTAAGTTAAACTTTGATGGCAACTCTTTAAAAAACCCAGATCATGCGGGATTTGGTGGTGTTCTCAAAGATTGGCGAGGGACTATTATATTGTCATATGTTGGTCCTTTAGGGGTGCATCCTGCTAATTATGCCGAACTATTTGCAGTATTCTTTGGCCTTCGAATATTTGTGGAGAGAAAATTGGGGAGTTTTTGTGTCTTTGAAGGTAACTCATTGGATGTCATCAAATGGTGTAAGTGGGAGTAAAAGTTGTATTGGGAGTTTAAATCGTTGAGTCATCAAATCTTATACCTTTCTCGATATTTTTTCTTTTCTTTTGTCCATATCTATAGGAAAGCGAATGTATTGGCTGATTCCTTTAGTAAAAGGGGTCCCCTCATTTCTGAGACTATTGTCTTTGACTCTGTAATCTCCTTTTAGTTGTATAAAGTAGTGAAATTTCTATCAAAAAAAAAAAAAAAGATCGAAATCCTAACTTGTAGCCCAAATATTAATTTTGAAAGATAGGTGAGAGAAAAAAATAGTATAAAAAAAGAAATTAAATAATGATAACGGCTAATCCCAATTACATCTTATGAAAAAGCCTTCTCACTCTGTTTAACCCTATCCTCTTTTAGGGCAATTTGGCTGATAGGTTATATAGGAGACGATCTTCATCAATCCTTTGAGATTGGGTTGGTATTAAGTTATATGTATTGTACTATATGTGTTAATTGAAAGCACTTTGATATTTTACTAAAGTGTTACGAAGGGTGGTTTATAAACAGGGAAAGGTTTATATACTTCTCCTACAACATAGAAGATCTATCTTTTCCCTACCATCAAGCCGTTCAATTTTGATCAAGAGAGCCACTCATCGTTTGATCTTAGATCCGACATCTCAAAGTATTTTATTTTTAGTTTTTCCATACAAATTGTATGAATATAAAATTTAGTACATACTATCTTCTCATTGGGGCGAACCTATAAAAAATATTAAAATTAAATTTTCGATAAAATATAATGACCAAAATACCCTTTAAAACTTTCGGGGTATTTTGGTCATTTTATTTTATTAGAAATATTTTTTTTATATTTTTCACTAGTGCGAGTTTAATAGAAGATTGGATGTCCAAAATTTGGTGTCAAAATAGTTTGTAGAAAAAATATTTAAAATAAAATAGTGTAAGGACATGACATTATGATTGGGCAATCTTAACCCTCCATTCAAAATAGGCGGTTGCATAAGTAGAAATATATAAGTTTTATGCTATAGGGGAAACATAGAAAGCTTGCCCGTATAAATAACGTGAGCAAAAAAAACATAAATGGGAAAAATAAATGGAGAATGTAATGGGCATGAGTATTTAAAGTAGTAACTTATTCAAAAGGATAAGTAGTTATCCTATGAAAAATTTACATTACTGCCGCTTATAATTAGTAGTATTGAAGAAAGGAAAAAGTTTATATAAGGGAGAGGCCCCAAACAATAAATTAAGACACACCTGAAACATATTTACTAGAAGAGGTTGTTTTATGCTCAAATCCCCAAATTGATCATCTCAACCTCAATATGCATGGACATAAGAAAAAATGAATTTCAAGCCTTAAAAATAGTGCATCTTGTAATGCATTCTCGGACCGTCAATTTTCAAGTGTTCATAGATCTACTCGATCTAAGCTATTTCTGAACCTTTACAATTTATAATTAGAGATGAAAATAACATTTTAGGCTACTGCAAAGATTTATGGTAATGAAACAACAACTTTCGATACTATATAAAGGTACGACTTACTTTGACTGTTTATGGCCTCGGCCTCATACAAACCATAACGTTTAACAAATGCTTCCCATATTTTGTATTTTGTATTTTTTTTTCTTTTCAAAATACTCTAAATATGGTACTATTAGGTTTGAAACACCCTTTTTAAGGAATTAAAGCAGTTTGAAATTATCAATTTCATATTGCTTTAATTCTTTACAAAAATAGAATAACATAACAAAGCGATATGTAACTATTAATTATGAGTTGGGATATTTTTAAAATAAAAGTATACAAAAAAGTACAAAAAAAGAGAAAAGAACATGAGCACAAGGCATGAGGAACATCATTCAAATATTGCTAACTATAAAATAGACATTAATGTTATTTTTCCTCTTATTAATAAGCATTACTCTACCAATGTAAATTAAGGGTGTGGTTTTTATAAGGCTGAGGCTCCAAGCAATCAAAATAAGATATACATTTAAATAATATATTGTTTTAGTATTAGAAAATTTTAAGACCGCCTGAAAATTTATTTTCCTCTTTAATTATAAAATTTAAATATTTTAAAATAGTGTAAATCGAGCAGGTCTATGAATACTCGAAAAACTTAAAAAATAATGGTTTGGATAATATATTACAAGGTGCACTATGCTTAAAACTTGAAATCTATTTTTTCTCTTGTACATAAATATTGAGGTTGAGATGACTGAATTAAATGTTTTTGGCATCGAAACAACCTCTTTTTACAAATTTTTAAGGCGTGTTTTAATTTGATTTTCTAAGGCCCCACCCTTATATAATCTTTTTCATTAAAAAAAAAATCCCAATTATCATTAAGAAACCATCTATTATTTCCCTTTTAAGTTTTAAGATCTGTCCTAATTGAGAGAAATGGAGAGAGAAGAAACACAAATGTCGAAAAAGAAGAGAAGATCGCAGTGTTTTAAACGCTCCGTCCAAACTCCTAAACCCACAAATATCAGCCGTCAGATCCCATCCCCTGTCATCCAAAATCAACGTCTTCATAATCCACACATCAGCGATCCGCGTCCTCCCATCTCATCCAATCAGAACCCTTACACAAAATCTATATAATCAAAACAACGACTCCATTCCCTTATCTCCATCTTTCTTTGACAAAAGCCATCTGTCCTCTTTCTCTCTGTAAGAATACCATTTTCTCTCTCTAAAAATTTATCCATGGCGCCCAAGGCTGAGAAGAAACTCGCTGAGAAGAAGCCTGCCTCTGAGAAGGCCGCAGAGGAGAAGAAAGTTGCGGAGAAAGCCCCTGCCGAGAAGAAGCCCAAGGCTGAGAAGCGCCTTCCTTCAAAGGAGGGGGGAGCTTCTGATAAGAAGAAGAAGAGGTCCAAGAAGAGCATCGAGACCTACAAGATCTACATCTTCAAGGTCTTGAAGCAGGTCCACCCTGATATCGGCATCTCCTCCAAGGCCATGGGGATCATGAATAGCTTCATCAATGATATCTTTGAGAAGCTCGCACAGGAGGCCTCGAGGCTTGCTCGGTACAACAAGAAGCCCACCATTACCTCGAGGGAGATCCAGACCTCAGTGCGTTTGGTCCTTCCTGGTGAGCTTGCTAAGCACGCTGTCTCTGAGGGTACAAAGGCTGTTACCAAGTTCACCAGCTCGTGAATTAGGGGTAGCGCTTTGCAATTAGGGATTTAGGGTTCGGGTTTCTATTTTTTTTTTATTATAGTTTTTTGTTTATTTCAGCACTTTTTGTATATGGAAGTGGTGCCTTGAAGGTGGAGAAATGATGGTGGGTGGATTTTGAATTTTGTTTGTGAAAACATGTTGAAATGCTCTTAATTGAAAATTGAATGAGAATTGACGTTTAAGGGTTTCATCTCCCTCTTGATTTCTCTTTCTTTAAATAATGTTTAGTTTTGCCGGTTGTTTTTTTTTTCCCCTTCTGGAATGCTTTTGCTGTGGAGCTATGTGTCTTGTGCTGCACAGTAACAATGCATTGGAAGTTTGCCAAATCTGGAATCCTTTCAGAATTGGTCTGGAACTTTTGTGAAGATTTAAATATCTATGTTTTTTTTCTCACCTCCAACTACAGAATGAATTAAGCTTTATTAAGGAATAGAAAGTTTGCTTTGAATCTCTTGATTCAAAAAAGAGAACTGCTGTATAACATCTGCTGCTCGTTTTTGTCTCAGACAATAGAAGCATTCTCTCTTTTTTTTTTCCTCTCTCTTTATGGTTTCTCTCTAATCTCTGTATTGATTCATGGACTCAAACTGTGAAATTCTCTTACTTTTTAATACTAGTACTGCATTTATCTGTTGTTAAATCTAACGTTTTTTTATTATTTTCAATTGATACTTTTGTGATTTAAAGTTATTGGGCCTTTTCTCTTGTGATTTCATAGAGAAATCTCCTATTTTTGCTGTGGTTCTCTTTCCTGAATTCTTATTGGAGTTCCTGCAAACGCTGCTTTGAGATAAAATTATGCACAAAAAAAGAGGGGTATTTAATATGAAATGTGGGAGAACCTAAAAGTTTCAGAAGCGGAACTTCGCATTCTTTTTGTTGGATTCATAATATTTGTGGAAAACGAGTTTTCATTATGAATCCATTAAAAACGGAAGTTTCCCAAAAGAACTAGGTATCTTATTTAATTGGTCGAAGATCCATGAAAAACTTCGAAACAATAGACAAGGGTTTCGGTAAAAGCAAAACTGCGGATAATCTAAAGCTCTCAAAGGATCAAATTTTCGTTTGTGACTTTGATTTTGAAATAGATAACGGTGCTGAATGCTGAAATTTTAATTTTTTTTTTGCTGTAGGTGGCGGGAATATTTGAAAAGCTTTAGATTTACAATTACCCGCCATTTATTCATTTCCTGAATTGTATTGATTGGTTTCCCGCTTAATAACCACTCGAAATATGCTCTGACTGGAGTAGGATTTTACTTTCACCCCGAGAAGGGCGATCTTTGAAGACGCAAGTCACGTCATAATTGGCGTCAGCCGTAAGATGTGGCATTGGATGGCTAGAATTGTGCTACTGACCTTGCTCTATTTTTGTCATTATTTTAGTATTTTGCGATTTGTTAGAGCTTTCAAATTTTACAAGTAATATTTGCGGTGATTATAGCATTCTTGTATCAAAGATGAGAAGTCTTTGCATGATGGGATTAATTGATTATTGACTTAACGAGTGTGTATACCATGCTTTTTTCTTTTCTTTTTTTTGTATAAAATTCATATAATTTTATTCAAGAGCCGAATAAAAATTACATCATTAGAGACTAAAATCTCAAAAAGAGAGGTGCCGTTTTTAGCTTAGACTATCAGCCAAAACATTAGTCCTCCCAAAAAATGTAGACGAAGGAAAGAAAAAAAGATTGGGATAAGTCTATAACCTAGAGCAAAATAGAACGCAATTCCCAAGATACTCTCATCTCCCCCTTGTATCAATTAATAACATTGAGGGAATCTCTTTCAATAATACAAGATGAATCTAAAACAAGTCACCAAGTAACTTCAGGTCAAGAAATTCAATGTGATTTGCAGTTTTTTCACCCAAAGGACCTAAATAAGAAAAAAGAATGTCCTTCCCAATCCCTCGAAACTCTTCCAAAACCCGCTGGACTTGGATTACCAAGCGAGCTCTTATCAAAATTAAGTTTCAAAACACCTTTTAATGGACAAGTCCATCTCCCTTTTGGGCCTACATTTCTTATAACCCAGCTTGAAAAAATTGTATAGATTTCTCCTGACATCAACTTCCATAATGTCTTTTCCTATCTTTATGATAGACAAAAACATCAAAATAGAATGTGGACTATACGATCTAAAATTCTATTTACCGGTAAACAATTACCGTTAAACACTCTTCTATTTCTCTCATTCCACACCTTCCATAAAATTATAACTCTTTTTATACCATGCTTTTAATAGAAGCATATTATACTACTCTATCACTGTTAATGAGAAAGTTTTTAATTTTTTTAGAAAGGAGAATTTAAATTTTAAGTTTTCTATGACTTAGATCTCACCCTCGAAAACTAGATGGTCACCACTCGATCTTGAGACACTGTATAGAGAGTGTGATTTGGATTTTTTTTTTATATATTACTGTTAGTCATGGGCTAAAAAAAATTATATCCCCAAAATTTGGGTCCTACAATTAATCCCTGGAAAGCAATTATATCTGCAATTTATAGACGGGCTGCTCTCTCAGGGATAATAGACATGAACTGAGAATGCATTGCATCATGTCCATGGTGTATTCCCCCTTAAATTTTGTTAATGCGCTGGTGGTAATAAACAAGTGGGCATCGTTAAACGCTGCCATTCTTTTTAAATATTTGAGGTGATTTAAATCCCTAATAGCTCTTTTTTTTTAATTTGAATGGTAAATAATTTTATTGAGATAATGATGAAGTAACACTGACATCTGTAACATAAACAGATTTGCAACATATTTCAGTATTGTGGTAGTGTTCTGCCAAACCACTTCTTCCCTCTCACTTCCTTGGGGATTTATCTACGACGAATTTTCTCGCAGCTGTCCTATGGAATGCACGGAATGAAAAAAACCTTCGCACCCCCAAAGGCGGAATCAAAGAGAAGAGCTATATTGAGCATTCTTACCTCAATACCTACATGGGCACAAGCTCTTACAGGTTACAAGGATGTATTGAGATAAAATTTTAACTCAGATTTGAAGGTCTGCGTTTCATGAGAAAAGGCGAGTGCTTGAACCCATCTAGATGGATACCCCCTCTAGAAAATTGGTTAAAACTGAATTTTAGTAAGTGTTAGTGATGAAATTAAAATTCGTTAAAACTGAATTTTTATAAGTGTGAGAGATGAAAATTCGTTAAAACTGAATTTTAATAAGTGTGGGTCAGATTGCTGGGGTGACAATTCGGACCTACCAAGATAGTTTGCAGCCATATACCGCAAACAAAGAAAGTGGAGATGTCGGCACTAAAGTTTGGGATAAGCAATTTCGATGCCCGGCGAACTCGAGTCACCATCGATAGCGACTCGCTAATATCATTGCTTGGTGCAAGGAGCAGGATAAGCAATTTCGATGCCCGGCAAACTCGAGTCATAACCGTAGGCAATGTTATTAGCTTCTTATACACATGCTAAAAACAGAGTTGTAGACCATCGCACATATCCATTATATCGAGCCAATTCCTCAAACTCCAAGGCGGCCAGGAAGCCCTTTTACAACCAATTAATCACATTCAATGAATCCCCTCCACAAAACATGGCATCTTGATGTTTTTTCTGTTGTGGAATTCCAATTCCACCTCATTAGCCGTTACCTCCCCACATGAGCAAGCAAAACAAAATATCACCTCTCCATCAACATGAACAGTCCATCTACCTTTTGGTCCAAGTTTCGACACATTATGAAGCATCAAATTATGCAGATTAATCTCAACATCCACTTTGATTATTCCAAACCCTTCCTTTGTCCTATAGAACAAACTCCAAACCGAAATTGTGTTTGATCATATCCACTTCCAAAGCTTTGTTATCAAATTTCTTCCTATTATGCTACAACCAAATCTCCCATAGAACAATGGCTCTTACCATCTCCCAAAAGAAATCTTGAATATCTTGAAATTTGACGGTCCATAAAAGAATTACAAAACACACTATTTACAAAACTTGGAATCCATTTTTTTCTCAAGTCCATGGATCTTGATGCCGAGATGATCAATTTGAAGATATTTGGGCATCAAAACAATCTCTTCTCGTGAAATTTTGAGATAGGCTTGAAGTTAATTGTTTAGAACATCGACTCTATATAAACTTTTCCCAATATTAAAGGATTGTATACAACAAGACCATTTAACATTGTTACCATGAGATAACAATTATTCTTAACGACTAGATGTCAAATTGGATACCTAGGGGTGTTTTATAAAATTCGAGAATTTTTTTTTGAATTTTCAATCCAATGAATAATGCATTCATAACCACCCGATTAGAAATCTAACAGACATCAATGATTGTAACCAGCTTTGTATTGAAAGTAAATTGTCTTTTTGTAAACTTTTTCAAATCTTAAATACTTGTGCTTGTGGATGTATTTTAAATTTTTAATAAATTTTTAATTTTTAAAAAATAGGAAAAATTAGATAAATATCCGTTTTATTTTTCTTTATTACGAAAATACTTAAAACTTTTTATTATTACTCATATGTCTATTTTTTGAACTTCATAATGATTTTTTTCGGTCTCTTACACTCACTAATTTCTTCTCTTTCCTCAATGACTCCATGGAAATACCAGCGAGCTTCACCAAATTCGCGCGTTTAAAATTGTGTACAATGTCGGATCTCCTCGTGATGGCCCCTACACTGCTTAACCGCAAAATATTTCCCATCAATTGTGGCTTTGTAAACAGACCCCCTGTCCTGCAATCCTAACTCAAATCCATGGTTGCTACTATAATTTTACTCTTTTGATACACAACCGGCTTATCCATACAGTTTGAGACTTCGACTAATCTCTTTTCTCTTAGAGTTCTTGGGCTCAAATCCTTGACTCTTACCATTTTTCTTCCGATGATTAGCAGAAGGAAAGATTCCATAGCTGATAAAAAAAAATGATTAAGAAATCGGTGGTCATACTACTTATCGGTGAGTAAGAGGAAAGAATCAGAAGTAGAACCTGAGGGAGGCAAAAATAAAACTGGTAATCGATCGACTTGAATCAACACATGAAAGTCCATAGCAGCCGTAAAATTCTCGTAATTATTCGCTTCTTCAATTCTTTTAACTGAGGTACCGAGTCTTTTACTCACTGCCTCTAATTATTCGCTTCTTCAATTTTTTCCACATATAAGTAATAAAACATTTTCGGTCTTTGAAAAACCAACAATGGATAGTTTCATTTTTTTTAAAAAAAACTTATGAAAACCAATAAATGGATATACGAGTAAATAGAAAGTTTTAGGAATATTTTTTTTTTTTTTTTTTTTTTGACAAGGGTACTTAGGATTTGATAATGGCGCCTACCAAAAATTAAAGTAAAATTGTTTCATGCAGCATTTGCGGTGTATAGCATCCATTTTAAAGATGTATACCAATAAGTGGTCTATCTAAAAATAATTGACACTATTAGTTCAAATGTTTTCTTAATAAAATTATTATTTATAATTTTCAAAATTTAATTATTTTTTCATATTCATGTTCTCCATGTTAGAGATTACTAGAGATTACATGCCCTTGAAAAATTAGGTCCACGAATCCATCACAAAAATAGATTTTTATGCAAATATTTGCTTAGCAGCATGGGGAAAGAATCATGTACCCAAGTACCCTTAGCGGTATGAAATCAGGCAGTTGGGGGCTTTACCATTTATTGAATTTTATGTCCAAAAACAGGTATTGCCATTGATTGAATTTTACGTCCAAAAACTTTTACTCAACTCTGTGACACACCCTTAACTACCCTATTTCACATCTACTGGAAAGGGATGATTGTAACCTCGGTCTACCAAAGGTAAATAATTCCTATTCATTCCCCCCCACAAACAAAATCCAGCATATAGCCATGCCAAAATCTCAGATACAACAAGAACAACAAACTAGGAGCCATCGTTCTAAAAGTCCTCAAATCTTTACATCTAAAGCCAGTCTTAGGATATTTCTCCAGTCTAAATGCAAGTCATCAGTAGCATCTTTATACAATAACTCATATCACAGATTACAAACTCATGGAAAAGAAAAAAAAAAAACCAAAAAAATCACAGATTACAAAGTCTTATCCTAATCCAGCATTACCCAAAATGAGAAAAAGAATAACGAAAAAAAAGAATCCTAGCGAGGTGGGTAGTGCCAAGTTAGTTGGCATGAACACTGGGGTTACAACAGCGACGTGCTCCTGCTCTCTCTCTCACAACGGGGAGGTGCTCTTGCTTGCTCTCTCTCTCTCTATGTGAAAGAGAAAGGGAAAATTACATAAACCCCCCTTACCCTATCTTCTAGATATACCACCCCAATACTTTGCAGACTACACTACTAACCCCAAAACTTTTTGTTTTTATACCCTACCCCCAAGTCAAAAAATAACAACTTTTGAGATGAAAACAGCCTCTCTTATAATACACACTTCTGTCACCTGCATTTTTCAAAGGATGCCAGTCCGACAAAATGTGCTGGACTAGCTTTGTTTTAACCAATATACCAATTCGACACAATTGAGCGATTGGATTCATTTTAAAAAATGAAACCGGTTTTTGGCATAATGAGTTTTGGACCAGCAAATTGCTTAAAATTAAACCATTCCGACACAAATTGTGTCGAACTGGTTTGAGCTTTGCATTGAGAAAAATGTCTCTCAAGGGTATCTTTGTCCTAAAACCCTATAATTTGATTTTGGGAGTTGGTGCATAAATAAAAACTTTTGGGATTAATGGTGTCATTCAAATATATATATATATATAGGGTTGGGTGCGGGGAGAAAGGAGGGAAGTAGAGAGGAGAGGGGGTTTCCATTTCCACAGACACCACCCCAATAACACCTTCAAAAAAACCAACTCCTAAACCATTTGAAAAACCAGTAGGGACCCGTCTTTTAAACTGAATTACCCAAAAAAAAAAAAAAAATCTATAGGCATTGAAGTACGCACCTAAAGAAGCAAGTTCAAAAACACATGCAACCGCAATCTACAACAACAAGAACGATTACTACCATCCTTGCCACTGCCGCAGAAACAAAATTAAGGATTTAAAAAAAAAAAGGGGCTCCTAAGTTCTCCATGACCATTCCAATTGACAAGAGTCCTACAAGAGATCACATGATCTCACAAGGGACCACATGACGAAGAATCACCAGTAAGGGCAATCTGGTACATCCGATATCCTACTTGATCAAGATTCCAATAAGCCCTAAAAAATCATGTTTCCGAAGGAATGGGACTACCCGAGTCCCGAGCCAGTTCCATGCTTTATTTCTTAAGCTTACGAAGAGATCACTTTGTTAGACATTGGAGGCATGCCAATGTAACAGAAACAATTACAAAAATATAATATACAAGGATTGGACACAAGCAACCAACCTCTTCGGATTTGATCCCCTTTTAAATCCGATTGCTCCCTTTCGCAAGAGAGTTCGATGCCACCCTCTTCAGACTCCGTCCAATGATTACTCTTTTGATTACTAGAACCAGGTCTATACTCTGAACAAGTCTGAACCTTTAGGAAAGAAAGAGGTGGTGTAGATCACCAAAAAAACCTCTCTCTACAACCCTTTTTCTTTAAGAGGTTTTCACTCCCATGAGTCTCTCCACATGTGGTTATGGAATCAACCACAATTGGTTATCCACATCAAATTGGATAGGTTTTCAACTAACAAGCCCTATCCAAAAAGATTTTCTCATTCCATCACCCCATAACAAACAACTCAAATACATAAAGGTCCACCCACCCACGAGGGGCAGACCACCCAAGTTCAACACATTAGGAAGCGCATCATGCACAAAGAATACTCTTAGAGACATTACCCTTGGATGCTCCAACGAGGTGGTGATGTTTGGGTAGCTCGTTGTTAGACAAAATCTTTACAAGTAAGCATCTCAAAAGTAGGGGGATTCAATTTCTCATGGTGTATAGTGAGGGCAAAGAGAAGAGAGGAGAAAGTGCAACACCTTCTCATCCACACTTAGTCAGCCACGACATCCTAGGTCTTCTCATTTGATCTCTCTAGCATCTCAAGGCTGAACTCGAGGACTCCAGCTCTCCTTACTTGCTCTTTGTTTGCATGTCCTTTTGAAGAGGGATCAAATCCTATAGAGAGATGCGCTAACTATTTTTTCAGGGCTTTGCAAGGAACATGACAAAAGTATTCTTAGAGGTTTGAAAGAGGGGGGTCCCAATTGGCCAGGAGATAGTGGCGAGTAAACTTTTCTTGGACTCTCATGAGGCTTGAATTCAAGGGGTGAGAGTACAAGACCCGCTGAGGCGTTTGAAAAGTGATTACGAATAACGAACCTCTCAACTCCCAAAAAAAAAATGATGGAATTTTTCTAGGTACATCAAGGCTCATAGGATTGTGTGGACTTAATGGAGATCAACTGGGTCTGAGATGTACGATGTCCAGTGTCTACAAGCTCTGTTGGGGTAGCTCATTGCTTGAAGGCTGATCTCAAACCTTCTTGGATAGGCTGACGATATTTTAGCCTCTTTTATATGGTATGTAGATTGTTTACATAAGACTTGCAGAATGTGATTCAATAGAACTCCTTATGCTACAGAGATATCTCTGTTTTTACATCCATAGACAAGCCAATGGATATGCCAAGTCTCTGGATCGGCTAGGGTGATTGATGGTAGATTTAATTCCAATTAACTGAGAGCAATGTTGATATCCAAAAGACTAATTCGAAATCAACCTTATTGAAAATGACCATGAGCACCAAAAACAAATTTGGAAGAATTGTCGAATACAAGGGTTAAATAAAATCCAAGAAATCTGTTCAAGTATCAAAACAAAAAAGAGTGGTCTCCTTCAAGCCACCTCAAGCTATGCTTAAGTTTTGATCTAAAGCTTACGAGAAATCAATAATATTGGTGGGCAAAACCAAGAAAAATAAAACAAAAATTGAATGAAAAGGAAAAGGAACATCAGAATTGAAAAAGTCGAACCATGCACAAGAATGACTGAAAGAAGTAAGTGTTGATTCCATGTCCCATAAACATGCCACATTATACAAGAATACTCAAACACCAATATTCAAGTGTTCCTAGTAGGCAATTGATGGGGGATCACCATTTTCAACGGTTTAATGACAAAACCACCTCACTTGATTTATGTGAAGATTGATATGGGTTATGGGTTCCTAGTAGGCAAGTGCTGCAACTGCTTTCAATAGTATTTTTTTACAATTTTTTTCATTTTTCTTTGGATAGTTCAGTAGTAGGAATCTAACTTGGGACAAAGTGGTGCAACAATAAAAAAGTAACCAATCAAGCCCAACCCAATTCTCAATAATCCACTCCTAGTATGTTACCAATAGCTCATCTAACATGGCCAACTAAAATTTACTTACAAGGAAATACAAAATTTAATCAAAGATACCTCAGTCAAACCGTAAAAACCAACTCCTTTTCGCATGATCCCTCGAAAAACTTGACAACGCAAAAATCAAACAAGGTAATTTCAAGGTAGTGTAAGAAGACAGGTTGAATACAATATGCTTGAAAGGCACCCCTACAGTCTGAACAAGAATTAAATGGTCATGTAGAACATCAATTGAACTAATGGAAGGTAAAACAGAGAGCATAAATATGAGAATGTAGATAAAAGTATAAATGCAAAGAAAGTTTGAAATTTACTAAAGAATTAAGTTATTATCAGGTTCAGAAAATGTCCTAGAAAAAAAAGTATATCACAAAATGACTGGAGCACAAACTGCAGCAGCAACACCAAATTAAGGAATGAAAAAGTTTGCAAAAGCTTTTCTGATAGCCAATTTACTGAAACACAATCTCAATGATGGGCTTAAGGCACATCGAAAAACTTAATACAACAAGCCAATACCAAGGGAAGGAAATCCTGAATACAATATAAAAACTAAAATCTTGAAGTAAACTCTCAAAGACAACAAAATTACAACGGAAACAACATAAACAAATAAAATCAAATCATATACCATACAAGACAATAGAACCAACCACAACAATAACATCAATCAGAATGAAAACAAAAAGATAAAGAAACAAAGCAAATAAAAAAAACAAGGGAACATGAAGAAACATATAAAAGTCAAATTCGCTATTAAAAATACTATTTCAACTTTGGTGCTACAGATGCAGCACACTTTACAAGGTTCCATCGAAATTTTAAGAAGATAAGGAAGAGCAATCCTTAAGAATGTCTGTAAAAGGATTGCCAGTGGCTAAAGCATTGAAGGCTTGAAAATAGCACAAGCTACCTATATTTTATAGTCTCTCAAAAGCCATAGTTCCCCAGCTTGAAGATCTGGATAACTGATAATATGCCCTTTCAAAAAACACACCTTCAACATGGCACCAATTTCATCTCTCATATGGCTACCCAATCTGCAAACAATATAATCCAAGAAACAAAAGATAATACCAATGAATCCAACTTTTAGATCAATACATCAAAAATATCAGGGTTAACTTTAAAACATAGTCACTTTGAAACAAAACCAAATGATGCATCTACGTTGAAATTTAAGTTGTGTACGCACATCCAAAAGAAAATACCAAATATCTACTTGCATAATTAAGCACTATAAGCACATCTAAAGAAAATATAACCAAATGAGAGTTGGGACAAATAGTACTGGGCGAAATGAAGACATGCCCTAAAACAAAACAATATGCTTAACAACCAGTTCAAATATGAATTTGTGAAACACAGAAGCAAGGAAGTAAATCCACACGGAGTAGATACAATAGACATGGAAGGAGAAACTAAAATTTAATAAAACAACAATTCGGTCCAACAGACATTGGATTTTGTGCTTTCCTAAAAAGTATCTTACATGTATCTTATAATCATAATATTCCTACATACTATTTAATATTTACAAACACCCATTGCACGTTTGCATGTCCATAGAACACTGGTTAGAAAGGCGAAAGGGATGCTTTTTGGCTCAGGGTGGAAAGCCATGATCAGTTGGCACACACAGTCCAGAAGTCTAACTCGTGTATCATTTCTGTGGTTTTCTGGGGACTTTTCTTTCCCACAAATGTTATGCCTATACACTTGTAATGCTTAAAAATATTAATGAAACAATTGTTAACCATCAAAAGAAAAAGGTGAAAAGGATCAACAGATACATAAAAAAAAAGAATAAGGAAATAAATATAAAATACAGATACACACACACACACACACACACACACACACACACACACACACATATATATATATATAGGATAATATTAGGGTACGCATACATGTCAGCATTTAATAAGGGCGTGTTTGATTTCTGGAAGATGCGGATTTGGAAACCGTGTCTTCCAAAAATATAGCTCTTCTGTAACAGGGAAATTTAACAGCAAAGTGGATATCGAAATATCCATTTTCCTTGCATATAAGGCTAAAAAATGGATATCGCAAGTTCCATAGGGGACCATGGAACTTGGGGCATCCACTTCCATGAAAGACACGGTTTCCAAAACCATATCTTCCAGAAATCAAACATACTCAACATTTTTAGACACTAATTATTGTTGCTTTGTAATACAAATTTTTTTTGAGCAAAGGTATTTTTCAACATTAGAAGGTGTAGGATAGATATTTCTATAAGAATTTAGTGGTATTTAATACTCCATTTTGGTGATGTCACACCTCATGTGGATGATGTCATTTTTCACTATAATTAATAAGTATTTTTCTTTCTATCATGAATTTCTACTTTGCCCTTAATAATTACCTAAAATACCCCTAAACAAAAAGTTACCCTAGCATAATCCTTATCATCATCATCATCAACCTTTTTCCAATTAATTGGGGTCAGCTCCACAAATTTTGGTCTGCCATTCTGCTCTATTAAGGGCCATACCCTTAGTGAGGCCTTAAGTCCCCCATATCTTTTCGAACTACTTCCAACCACGTCCATTTGGGCCTACCCTTTGTCCTTTTCAAGCCTTCTACTTGAACTAAGTCGAACCTCCTAACAGGTGTTGTACTAGGTCTCACTCATCTCTCCACTAGTTGTTCGTATACTAGTATGCGCGCCATCATACATATCATTCACCAAGTCGATGTAGTGTCTGGAGACTCCTTTCTTTTCCAACACCCACTAAATCAAATCTCAAGGTACTCTATCATAAGCTTTCTCTAGATCAATAAAGACCATGTGGATGTCTTTTCCCTTTGCCCTAAACTTCTTAATCAGTTAACTAAGTAGGAAAATATCCCCGGTTGTTGAGCTGCCTGGCATAACACCAAATTAATTATCAGATACACTCGTTTCATGCCTTAGTTGTTGCTCAATCACTCTCTCCTAGAGCTTCATATTATGGCTCATAAGCTTGATCCCTCTATAATTCGCACAATTTTGTATGTCTCCTTTGTTCTTTCTTGTAAATAAGCACCACAATACTTTTCCTCCATTCGTCTGGCATTTTCTTTGTTCTCAACACCTTGTTTGAAAGCTTCGCCAGCCAGACAGTGAGTGTGCATATATAGGGATTTTCTAGAGTTAACAACCCCTCAAATAACATAGGTTCAAGTTAGAATCACTCGTGAAGTATTTTTTTACCCTCGTTACCCTCGTATTAATGGAGCCTAAAGGCTACATAGAAGAACACTTCTGACTTTTAGTTCAAAAATCAAATAATAATTCTTAAAGCTAGGAACTTGAAATTTGATCTCTCTTCTTCCTCTCCAATGCACAGAATTTTCAAAAAAAAAACCTCTTCTCGCTCTTCTTGTTGTCCACCATGTTGTCTCTCTCTCTCTTCCATCTATTGGTATCTAACTTCTTGCCATCCCCCCTCTCTCTAAAATTTAATGTAGCTTCTCTCTCTAAAATTTTAATATATTTCCTCTCTAAAACCAAGATTTGAGATAGTCTCTCACTCTAAAATTAAGAGAGAGAGTTCAGTAGCCACATAGGAAGACACTTTTATGGATCACCATAATGTGTAATTTAAAGCACCAGTATCCAATGGGAAAACATCATGGAGTGATGAGAGAGAGAGAGAGAGATGTTAACAATTAGCCCATAATTGGATACTTTCTTACATGTGCAGCCCATGTGAGAGTTGGGGATCCTTAAATGAAATCTCAATCATCACATGCAAAAACAACAAATTCTTCTTCTAGAGAGAGCGAGAGAGAGAGGGGAGGAAACTTAGTTATCAGGGGGGCAAACACTCAAAAAATGCAGCACAATTTCAAGAGTGAGACCAAAATTTTGGTGCAAGCAAAATCATCACACGAGAAACACCCAATGAATCATGCACATGCTCATGCTCAAAGAGAGAGAGATAGATCATGTTCTTGGGGGGGGGGGGGAGGAGAGAGATGTGCAGCTGGAAAACAAATCATGTCAATATTCATTACAAATAGAAACTATCTAAAATCTTAAGTTTTAGAGAGAGAAAGTATCTTAAAATTTTAGAGAGAAGGAGATGGCAAGAAGTTGAAACCCAATAGATGGAAGAAAGAGAGAGAATGCATGTGGACAACAAGAAGAGAGATACGAGAGGTATTTTTTTTGGGAAAAATACCTGCATTGGAGAGAAGTAAGAGAGACGGTGGGCTTAAAATTCAAATTTCAAATTTAAAATCCCTAGTTTTTAGAATCATTTTTTATTTTTGAACTAAAAGTCAAAAACGCCTTTCTATATAGCCTTTAGATTCAATTAATATGAGGGTAATGGGGTAAAAAAATACTTCACAAGTGATTCTAACTTTAACCTAAGTTATTTGAGGGGTTGTTAACTCAAGAAAATCCCATATATACATATATATAAGACAAAAATGATCCTCTAAACATCAGAGATAACTATTATATTTTCTAACAAACCACCAAGTGGGTCTAACATCTGATGAAAAGTTAACAATTGCATCATATTAAGCTAATATCCTCACTTCTAAGGGTGTGTTTGATAGCTTTCTCAGCAGTTTCCCTGAAATTCTCCCTGCTGCTGACTTTCCTAGAATCTGGGAAGAAAGTGTAAATTGGTAGTGTAAATTGGTAGCTTGAAAGCTGGGAAACATGTTTCATAAACTGTGGTGATGGTATTTTCACCATACCTGTTTGGCATTAGGAAAGCTAGGAAACACATATCTTAACCATTCATGATGTATTTCATTATTTTGACGTGTGAAAATGCATATTTTGAGCAAGATTTTCTTTCTATAACCCATCTATTGCATAATAGTATGGGTTAAGGGTTAGGGGTAATTCCAAAATCTTTACTCGTGGACCTGAAATGCCAATACCCTTCCTCGACCATCCCTGCACGGACCACATTCACATATGTGACATGGTTAGGGGCAATGCCATCATGTTCTACCATAGTTCTGAATAGTTCAAGCACTTTCTCACCCTCTCCGTTATGTGCATGCCCAGCTATAAGGGCATTCCATGTCACCAAATTTCGAATGGGCTTTGCAATAAAGAGCCTTGATGCTTCTTTCCTGTCGCCATATTTAGCATACATGCAAACTAGAACACTTGCATTGTATATATTTGAATCAAAACCAAGTTTTATTACATGGACTTGCACCTATTTTTGCCATAATTAAGAGCAATTAGGTCCACATAGGCACTGAGCACACTAGCAAAGGTGCCATTGTTTGGTTTAAAATCCGATCTGAGTATATGGGTGAAGAGTTTAATGGCTTCTTCATTGAACTCATTTTGTTCATAACCATAAATCAAGGTCGTCCATGAGATGGTGTTAAGGTTAGACCTCTCATTTAAAACAAACCTAGCTGACTCCAATGACCCACATTTTTGCATACATGTCAATGATGGCATTAGATACAAATACATCAGATTCAAGCCCACATGCGATGGTTTTGTAGTGAAACTGCATACCTAGTAATAGGCTACCAATACTAGCACATGAGCTTAAAATGCTCGAAAAAGTGAAGTGGGTGGGAACAACTCCATGTTTCAACATCTATGGACAAATTCATTGCTTCCTCTGATAACCCCTCTCTACTATACCCACTGATAAACCATTCCATGAAATGCTATCCCTATAATGCCCACAAACACTCTCCAAGAACTTTCAAGCTCCCCTGACTTTACAATGTTTACATACATGTCCATAACTGCATTTGCCACAAAGACGTTGCCCTCGAAACCAGTCTTGAAGACCAGAGCATGAATTTGCTTGCCTTCAACAAGGCCTGAAATTCCAGCACAAGCATTAAGAACACCACCAAAAGTAAATTGAGAGATTCTCTGACCTCTTATATGAGAAAAGGTCTTTCTCAGACCATTTCGCCAAACATTTTACAAGCTTCCCTAATTACATCAAATTTACATTAGATATCGACGAGTCCATTGTTTAAGAAGAGGGAATGGGGAAACCTCGTTTTGGCCATGTGAGTTTCGACCTTTTTGGCTAGGGAGGCCGCCATTGACTCAGAACAAGCTTGAAGAAGGCGAGAGGAAGCTGGAAGCCTCTTCTTATTGGCGTGATGATCTGTTTCTTGCAGAAGTGATATAGCCTGATCCAATTGGCCTTGTTCATAGAGAGCGTTGATGAAGTCAAGAAATTGTTGGGCTTTGCAAAGAGTGTGCGTGTTTTAGAGATAGTTACAGAGAGAAGCATGGAGGTGAACTGTCTAGGGTTCAGGCTTTTGGAGATGAAGCCTCTAGTGCTTCTGATGCAGGCCTGTAAGGCCGCCATTAGAGGTGGGGGCTTCACACCAGTATAAAATCGTGCTCACGCACATTGATTTTGTTTAGATTTTGGGAAACACTAGACTGAAAAATTATAAAAGAGACCAATTCTTACAATAATAAGCATCCTCGTTGAACCATCAACAGAAATAAAATGCTTGATGATTGAAAGGAAACAAACCTTTTCTGAACCATAAACTGAAACTGAACCCTAGATCAGCATAAAACGAAACCCTACATCATCATTAGCAATAAGATTTAACTGGTATCTTCTCTCTACACGAATTAAATAGTTTCTTCCCTCATCATGAAACAAACCATAGTGCTCGAAAGCATTTGAGAGCTTGAAACCAAGACTTGATGGAGGTGTGGAAGTAGAAAAAACAAGGCCATGATTCTACTTGGAGACTCACAGAAGGAAGAGAGAGATAGGAGGGGAAAAAATATGACCCGTTGGCTTTCTCTGAAAGTGGCAGAGCAGGGATACCCATGTGCTGCCATTTTCCGCAGTGTAATAGTGATTTGGGAAATATATTGGTTCCAAGTTTTCCATCTTTAACTGATCCCAAACTAGAGAAAAGTACATTACAGGGGAAAGTCGGGAACTTTCTCCTAGATTCGCCGTTATCAAACGCCCCCTAGGTATACCCAAGTTAAACAATTTCTAAGGAAAGCTTGAAAACAAGTTTGAAAACTTGTAGTAATGGAACATTAATGCACTAACACTGACATGAATCACACAATGTAAAATCAAAATCACTATAGAAATGTCAAATGATATTGAATAAACACAATGATCAAAGGTTTAGGATACATTTAACATACTTAGTTTCGTAAATAAATACCATGGGCATCCATGTAGAAGATTAAAATTCCAACCCATCACAAATTAATGTAAAAAACTAAGGCCTGTTTAGATGTGAATATGAGGTGCCTACAAGGAAATCTAAAGCTCGTGATGTTTACAATCTGTTATAGCTAGAGGATTCCAATGGCTTTGACAGGAAAAGCAGGATTTATCATCTATATGGTGATTCCATTTTCTATCATTGCTAAGCAATCTACTATGAGTAAAATGCACTAAGACCATTTCTACAAAAGTAGTTTTACCGCTATATGCATTTTAACTCCAAGTGGAGACCTAAGTGCAAATGCAAGTCCAACTGACCCTAAACACGCACGAGGAATGCAACGCAAACAGCAGAAAATCATGCAACCATAATATCACAAAAAATAAATGCGAGCACCAGTACAAAATAATGAAGTCGCAAAGAGGTCTCAGAGAGAAGGCAGGGAAGGGTGTGTGTGTGTGTGGTGGGGTGGGGTGGGGTGGGGTGGGGTGGGGTGGGGAGAGAGAGAGAGAGAGAGAGAAAGAGAGAGAGTTATTTTTATGTTAAAAAACATTTGAAAGGAAGCCATGGCAGCAGAAAATGAGAAAGAGCGAGGGAGTGAGAGAGAGAGAATCATTTTTTTATGTCAAAGAACATTTGAAAGCCATGGCAGCTGCAAACGATGAAGAACACATTGCAAAAACCAAAAATCCAAAATCAAGTGGATGTTTCTGATGTTCCACAGAGTAACACACAAAACAAAATATCAAAATAATGCCTAGATGTCACAGTCAAGTATGAGAACCTATTTGTATGTCTATGCACCGGTATCAATCAAACCCACAACCTAGTAGTTGAGATGAAAAGCTCCAAAATTCTAGAATATTCTTTTAACCATGGGATATACAAGAAAAAAAAGGATGCAGAACTGAAAATATGCTGAACAAACAAACAAATATAAGAAATCAGCTTCAGAAATCAGCTTCAATGACATAATTTCAACATAAAAAACAGCAATTTCTTAAATTTGATTGCAAATGCAAAACAAAAAGTGCAATAAAAATAATATATAGGGCAAGAAAGGAAGTGAATAAAACTGTACCAATGCATGGCATCTAGACAAGCTTGGTCATCAAGAATATGATTCTAAGTAGAAACACAATCTTTTTAAATCAAAAGACAAGGAATTCAAACATAAAGAACACCATGTAAATAAGTTAAGGTACTGAGAGGTAGAATATTTGTTTTATGACAAATTGTTGAAATATTTGTTGCTAAAAGATTACCCAGACACATAAAAGTAAGAAATAAATAAATAAAGAATAACAGAACAAAAAAACACACCAGCTACAGAAAAGCTATTTGATTATTCAAAAAATAAATAACTAAGAAAGATTGCTGCAAGAATATCATCATACACCATCAACAACACCATGAAGACGATGTAGTCATTAGATGGTTCACACATACTATCAACTTGCCTCCTTGAAGTCAAAATTAGCAAAACAAAAACATAGCCCAGAATCCAGTGCAAAACAATTAACAGTAAAAACCTTCAAAGGAGTGAGAAAATGGAACAAATTTCTTGATACAATAAAAGAAAATTGAACACCTTAAATTAAACAATGCATACAACACACATCCATCAAACTAACACGCACATAAAGAAATAATGACTCAAAATCAACAACCCCAAGTTTAACTTGATAAACAAACAAAACCTCATTCAAAACACATTATGAAAAACTAAGTAAAATCATATTCAAAAAAATAAAAAAGTATATCAAAATCAAAACGTAGAAATGGATAAAACTCCATACCTATCGAGACATATAAGAAGGTGGAAGCCCACCCATTGCTCCCGCTCCAATTTGCCCCTTCACCTGCAATCCTTGCTGTGACTGCACCCCTTGCAAGCCCAATGCCTGCCCAGCCAACCCCGCTTGTCCACCATAAGTCCCAAGCACACTAGTCCCCACCCCACCAAGCCCATATCCCCCTAAGCCCACCGAATCATAGCCCATTGGCACCCCTGAAAGCCCGCCAACTCCAAAGCCGGAAGTGCCCATTTGCCCGAATGATGGAACTACCCCTGAAAAGCCCCCAATACCTGAACCCTGCCCAAACTGAAAACCACCAGCCATTACTCCCGGGCTCACCATTGAAGCCAAATCCCCTGGAGCCAAGCCCACTGTTTGGCCCATCGGGACTGGAGTACCCGCTTGGGCAGCTTGGCCCATGGGCTTGAACTTGGGACCATCGGCTGCCTTCTGAACGTGCAAAACATGTCCATCAAATAACCTGTAGGAATCTTCGATGGCTTTCTTTGCTGATTCTTGGGTTTTGTACACAAAGAGAGCAAAACCCCTTGATTTACCAGTGAATTTATCAAAACCAATGGGACCATCTTCAATCTCACCAAATTTTGAGAAAAAGGCTTTGAGCTTTTCAGCTGATGCATCGGATGGGACATTGCTCACATAAATTTTTCGAGCTGAAACATCTGATCCATAATGAGAAGGAACAGGCCCAAGAGAAGCCAATTGACATGAAATTAACCTATTTTGGACCTTCTTTTGCGGTTGTTTCAGAGCTTTAATGGCTCCTTTCCTCTTCTTAAAGAGCACAAAACCATAACCCTTTGCTCTACCAGTGACCTTGTCAAGAACCACATTGCAATCTTCAACTTCGCCAAACTTTTCAAATGTGGAAATTAGGGTTTGAGAGGTCGAATCCCAACCTAAGCCGTGAACAAAGACCTTTCGATGCGAGACCTGCTTGTCCGCGAGCTTCTTCAGATGGGTATAAACAGATGGGTCTTTATCAGCGATATCGCATATGAATTCAATAATCTGCTCTTTTGCAAAGGGCTCGATCAGCTGGGAGAATTTTTCGGGGCTCGACGTCTCTGCTTCTGAGTCTGATGAATCTGAGTCGCTGGATGAGGAAATAGGTTTTTGTTCTTCTTCCTTCTTTGCTGGTTTTGATTGTGTTTCCTTCTGTTTCTTCGACTTCTTCTCTGATTTCTTCTCGGACTTCCGCTTCTTGGCCATGGAGGATGGAGAAAAAGGGTGCGAGTGAGAGGTTGAAGGATGGGGAAGAGAAAGAGAGCGCGTGTGGGACTGAGCACCAGCGAGATTATTAGGGTTTTGGGTCCTCGATAAAAAATTAGGGTTGTGGCCTTTACATTCAGAGGGAAGATGGAGAAACACGCTAGGATTTATATAAGGCTTATAATGTACAAGCAAAGCGCATCTCAGATTTTTTAGGGAACAAATCGTTGTGTGGTGCATGAGGCTGCAACCTTGAACAACCAAATTAAGGCGAGACTCCAAATTTTATTTAAACATAATTTTAGTATAAACATTTCTTAGGATGGCTTCATGATCTATTTTTAACTTTAGTTGTCAAATTTTTAACTTAAAAAAGTTCAAAACTTTAAATAAACTATGTTGATAAACACATGAAAATCTTGAAAATAGACGGTCTAGATAATGTGTTGCAAGATAAACTATTTTTACAACTAAAAAGAAAAAATTAAATATTCATATATCTATAGGATGAGATGATTAATTAGAGGGCTTCTAGCATCAAAACAACATTTTATGATGGATTTTTTAAGTTCACCTTGATTCTACATTTTAAGATTACAACTTTACTTAAAACTTTTTCCTATATCCTTTTGGTGTTAGAAATTTTATCATTGTATGAAGTCTATATAACTTTAATTCTAAAATTTAAAATTCTAAAAACATTAAATATTATGCAGAACCATAAGTATTTGAAAATTTTTTAAATAGATGGCCTAAGTAATTTATTACAAGATGGACTATTTTTAATATTTGAATTCTTTTGTTATTTATATCCATACATCTTGAGATCGAGATGATATATTATAAAATTTTCCAATTTGGCAGTACTCTTTCGTACTGAACTTTTGAAGTACATGTTACGTCTATAGTATAAAGTTGCAACCTTATACAAAAATTTTCCCTCAATAAATATTTCAATATATTTTTCCCCAACGGAGCAAATGAACAATATGTTCCCCTGGGAGCATAATTTTTTTTAAATATATAAAGCATATGTATGGATCTATAGAGAGACCATCACTACCCACATGGCCTCAATTTTGCAAGTCTGAGCTCTCTTTGTTTGACTCTGCAAGTCTAAACATGATGTCTCTTTAGCCATGGCCTATTATTTCTATCTTTCATAAGCTATCTTCTTCCTCTTTCCAACCCATAGCCTTGTTCTTCCACTTCATTTTGTAGGCATTCGGAAGCCCCCCAACATCATCTTCAAATCTAAAACCATCACCTAGCCCAAAAATTGATCTAAAGAAGTAGCTAAAATTTTGAAGTGAAATCTGCCCAAAACCAATTGCTTGCCCATTATAAAATAGCCATAAATTTATGGGCTTTGTGAATGCTTCAAAACATAGATTTTTATTGAAAACAGTGGCAAAAACTCCGCTTGAGTTGTAGGAAGTACTCCAAAAAATACTTTCATTAATTACCCATCTCTATGGGGGACTGGCTCTATGGGGACTCAAGCCAGCCCCCCATAATTTGTAGTCAACTCGGGTAGTTTCTAGTCAACAAGGTAATCTTTAAACATTGTTTTAAACGTTTTTTAGACGGGCACTCATTGATAGGGACTGAGTTTAACATGATGGTTATAACCATGTAACCTTTGAGTATACTCCCCACCCTTGTGGGTTATGGATTTTTCGATGAACTTTCCATGGAGGTTGTCGTAAAATTTATTTATGGAGTTTCTTGTTTCTCTCAAGCCTTAAGGAATATATGTGGCCACTACTTACCCCGTTTTGGAAAATGGTGGGGAGAGCCTTGGAGTAAAAGGATTATCCATAGCAACATAGGCAATCCACTGGACTTGAAAGAAATCAAGGATGCAAGATCAGAGCGGGGAAGCCATAACTACAATGGATAAAATATGTGACATAATGTTTCCTCTCTACCGCGTTGTAGCGTACAATTTATTTTATTGTTTTTTGTATAATTACATATTAATGTTTCCTCTCTACCACATTGCGACGTACAATTTATTTTATTGCTTTTCATATAATGTACGTATTTGAGATGGTGACACCTGTTTTTTTGGAGGTAGTATACAGTAAGGATACCATTGAGAATGGCAAGCTAGGCAAAAGCTTATGTTATGTGGTTTGGCTACCTTCCAAATCATGTTGATATGGAGGGAAAGTGGCTGCTTCTGCTATTGTAGATCAATATATAAGAACAATAACTGAACTACCTTCCTCTTTAGTCCCATATGGTGTTGTCCTGTCTATTTGGGATGAAGAAACAACAGATTGATCTCCCCAAAAGGTCAATTAACAATTTTGTGGAATGGTCCCCTGGTTGTCCATGCCTGATTTGAAAATTCTTAATTGCATTTAAACCACCATCCCTCCAACCTGAGTGCTTGTTGATTCAAGGTAAGGCAAAGGATCATATGAATCTAAGCAGTACAAGTACAGTGGCCATTGCCCCACCCATTTATCTGACTAGAATATAGTTTAATGCCATTTCGAACGTTAATGCTATTGTATCGAAGAAAATTGTCCGATCTAATCACTAACCGCACGATTAGATCGAAACCGGTTTTGGGCGGTTAGAGTGATCAACTAGTATCTTTAAAAAAATAAAAAATATATATAAAAATTCTAAAACACAAAGAATTTCATTTGTAGTGTATTTTTAAATATTATTTACATTATGGTAAAGATTAAAAATTGTTTTGGCCATTAATACTCTTATTTTTTCCTATCTGTTTTAGAAAATTTTCAAATTGCCCTTGAAAAATATAAAATGGGTTAAAATCCTTTTTTTTCACTAATTTACAACTTCATTTTAATATGTTTTGTTTTAATTATTCTTTATATTCTTTTCATATTTTAGTATATTTTTTTTATTTTTTTATTTTTTAAATTAACACTTTTTTCACCGCCTGAGACTTGTCCGGTTAGAGTGGTTGAATCGGCCGGTTTACCAGTTAGACCAGTTAAACCGTTTCCAAACCCATGTCCGGTTAACCGTTCCCAGACCCATGTCCGGTTAACCGTTCCAGTTCGATTTTACGAACACTGGTCGATTTTACGAACACTGGTCTAACTAGCCAAATAGCACGACACTCTTGTATTTGCACATTACCACTTCCCTCCATAAATGAGCTATCTTAGTAGCACAAATATTAATAAACTCTTGTATTTGTACAAACTTTGTTCCACTATGATGTATGGGAGAGGACGAAGTAAAATAAACTAAACCAAAACAAACAAAATATAAACACGAAGATGAGAGAATGTACCATCTCTTTAGATCTGCAACAAGAGTCCACTCCGTAAAAGATACATTCTCTATCATTTATTTCTCCATTACTTTCATATGTGTAAAGAAAACCTTCAAATCCTATTTTTCATGATAAGAAACCCCAATCAATCTTTTCAAATTTAAATTTCCAGCATTACATATAATAAAAAAGAAAAAGACATAAATAACCTAAAAATAAAAACCCTAAATAATTACAATCTTAATTCCACATCTCATATTATTAGTATTATTATTGTTATTATTAAATAAATTATCGCAAATATGCCTATATTTTAGTAAAATCGAAAAAAAAACCCCAAACTTTTCAAAACCTCACCTACACTATTTTTCACTATTTTCGGCTTTTTTGGACCAAAATGACATTTACGGTAGTCTTCTTACCTTAAAGAGCATTACGGTAATTTAAATACCGTAGATTGTAGAAAGGTCCATACGGTAATTTTTATATCATAATTCTTATGCATTTTATGGGGTAATTTAATTACCATAATGCATTAAGATAAAATTACGGTACTCAAAGTATCATAATATCTTCCACATATTACGGTACTCCCTCTCTCTCTCTGTCTCTGTCTCAGATATAAAAAAAACCCACTCGAGCCTATTTTTTTCGAATATTTTATCTCTCTAGACTCTCGTAATCAAACCTCTAGCCTCTTCTCCCTTCCCCATGCGTTTTATACACTTCTCTGGAAAAACCCACATCTTTCCTTCTTCTTTTCATACTTTTTGTTGCCTTTCTCTTTTTTGTGAAGGAATCCATTAACGCTCTAAAACCCAATTCTCTCTCTCTAACCCTTCATAAAAAATCTCAATTCTTGATGCTTGATCAACATTAACAGACCCTGGTTCACTGCAAAATCTGCAACTTTTTCCGACCACCCAATTGACTGAACATGAGTTTTTTTTGAAAAAATTTGGTAATTTTTCATGGAAACTTGCATGCATGCACAACTCTTTGATGAAAAACAATGAACCGAGAACAAAAGAAAGAGAAAAACCCCACTTTTAGTATAGAAAATAAATGTGTTAAAAACTTGTATAAATCATGAAAATAGAGAAAAAAAAACCTCAATTCAATAGCCAAAATCAATGGTTTAAAAAACGGATCGGTGACCAGGATCGGGCTTCCAAAAAACCGATCCGGATCGGCGAATCGGCGATCCGGATCGGCGAATCGGCGATCCGGATAGGGAATCTGGTGAATTGGTCAGAATAAAGCTTAAAAAAAATCCGAAAAAATTATTAAAATTCATTATAAATATTGTTTTTTAGGAACTCAATAAGAAATGAGGGTACTCCATTAAGAATTTTCATGTTTTTGAATGAATATGCGAATATTGATATGTTCTTTTCCTGCATGAACCGCCATTCAGCATTTAATTTACATCACACAAAAGGATAAACATATAATTATCATGGAATAAGTATATCAACATACATGGACTACAATAAAGCATAAAATTAGTAACATATGATCTAAAAATAAAATGATAGACGACGTTATTGTTCTTCTTGGTCACGCTGGTGCCATTGATTGAATTCATTTAACAATTCATTGATTCGATCTAAAAACGAATCATCGATATTAGCAGGCGTCTGACTATTCCCAAATCCCTGAGTGTTAGTGTTTTGTTGTGTTCCCGATCTAAAATCCCCGAAGATTGTCCATCCTTCATGCTCACCTGTACTGTCGTGTTCATCCCTACACTGTTGCTGTTGGGACTCGATATGTGAATAATATGGCTGGGATAGGGTGGCATCAGAATCACCATCTCTCTCATTTTCTCTTTGAATAATATGGATTAAAAAAAAAAAATAACAAATTTTCAAAAAAATCGATCATGG